GTCACGCTGTCACCTTGTCCGGTACACTGTTTGTTCACGTGGCGCCTCAAAGTCGTTCTCGAACTCTTGTTAACGGTTCTCTCACATCTCGGTACGAGCCCCCAAAAATTGATGGAAATTTATTTTATAATAAATAGGTTTTTTTTTGTGTATAACAAGATATATTTCCAATAGTTTAATACAACGGACCGAAACGATCGCGCTACGTTCTCTTTAATTGCCACCCGTTCGCGGACTTCAACTTTCTGCCTCCTTCCTCGTATCGTGTGCTCCGGCGACTGCCACGTCTTTTTCCCGCGCGCGACCGAAGTGGTCGCTACCCCGCAACACGCGCTCGCCACGTGATCGATAGTCGATCGATCACGTGCGATCCCACATATATATATATATATATATATATACATATATATATTCTATTAAATGATTAAATTCACTACATATTAAGAGAAATAATTGAAATAATCGAAAAATTCTCGAATATTTAATAATAAGAAGGAATATTTAATAATAATACTTTTTATTATTTTTACTTTAAATACGCAAAAAAGATTTTCTGATTACGGTATATTTAGAACTTGAATTTAGTGTCATAAGAAAATTCAATAAAATGACGAATTAAATTTATAAAAAATCGTTTAAATTGCATGAAAATTTATATCTGAAGGTTCTTAGTATCACTAATTTCGAATTTGATGATCAAATTGTAAAAATAAAAAAAGAAAAGGCTGATTTAAAATTAAAGTTTTTGAAAATTGTACGAATTGCATGAAAATTCATATTTGGGTTTATGGTACCGCTGATTTCTAACTCAGTTTCCAAAATTAAAAAATAAAGAATAAAAAGGCGTTCTGGTTCTTATATTCTAACAACTTTTTTTACATTTATTTTTATTTTAAGATTCTTGGTGAGATAATCTTTGATACTGACTGGCCCTTATCTAATACGGCAATTTCACCATCGCTATCTGATATAAGTCCAAGTCCATCAACTTCCAGTGTTCCATCAGAAAATGAGGAAATTTTGACTGATGAAAAGAAGTGTCTAAATAAGACTACAGTGGGTTTACCACTGTAGTCTTACATGTTTTCATTTACAAAATATATGCTAACCAAAACTGTAATTCTGTAAGTTATATGCTCACATACACATACATGTAAAAATCAAAAACTTATACACTTTTTCCCATTAGACTGTTCTTAGATTGATAAATACTTCACTGAGAGAAAAAATCATGGTAGAGTTTACTATACTATAAAAGTAAACATATTGACTACAAAAAATATTTAATTTTACTATTTTTATAGTCAATACGAATATAATTTTACTAATTCTACTATGTCTCACTAGTTAAACATGTAACCCTGAAACATTGTTGGCACAATAATCATGAATAGTATTACTAACAACTATTTATTGTTTCAACTATAACAATCCGCTAATAATACCATTAACTATGTCCCT